CCCCACGGGCAGGACCCCACGCTAGCGTGGGCTGTGCCTGCATGGCCGCCCGGGAGAGACAGCGGGTCGACCCCTGAGCCTGGCCCTGCTCACCCCCTTCCTGCCACCCCCTTCCAGCCCCGGCCCCTGTCTCTGCTCCTCAGCCAGCGCCTGCCCCTCTCCTCCTTTGTGTTCAGACCCCCACAGCGCTCCTGGCCAACTCACTCAACCTTGTCTGCACTGGCATCATACCAAACCCATACAATTTTTCCAATTGTTTGATGAACTCCAAGCCTCGGGCTAGCTGGAGCAGGACTGATCGTTATGCCAGCACAAACAGCTGTCACAGAAATACGCAGAATCGATACCAGCCCAAGTCACCAGGCAGCTGAAGCAGCAGCCTCCTCCGAGCCAGGACTCGGCCCTGGACCACCATTAGGTTATCATGGGTTGTCTTTGTAAAAAAAATTGTATTTAACCAAAACCCTCCAAAGTGCCAGATTTTCCAGCATTATTAGAGAAGCCAACTAATGAGTTTAAGCCTCCCTTTTCTATGAAAGCACGGTCAATCTGAAGTTAAGTCAATTCATGGTAAAACAAATGGGAGTTTTTCCTTAATCTCCACTGAGCACTAAACCCATGAAATTAATTTAAACAAAAGTCACTCAGCTTTAAAAACTTTAGATCTGCTTTTGTAATTCCTTTTTTTTTGATTGTTTATGAAAAACTTAACAGTCCCAGGTTTAATTTCCAGAATTCCACCTGTCAGAATTACGTTGTAATCTGAAAGCAGCAGACTGCACATGTAGTGCCAGGGTGTGGAAGATGCCAAACAGTAACTGTCTGCTTCAGATGTTTACAAGTGGAAATGCACTCACTCATCATCTGCTAACTTCTGCTGAGCATATCACTTGGTATAAATTTTAGATCACACAGCTCTCAAACATACCTTCAAGAAATACGGAGTCGTTTCTATTGTAAGTTGTAATGGGAGGTTATAGCTTATTAGAACGAAATTAGGGATAATTTATTGTTGACAGAAAATGCAGGACTGGAAGAGACCCACTGGAATTTCATCATGATTTTTTTTCTTTTTTTTTTTACTACATTGTTCATGTTGCATTGTAAAAGCGGTTACATCTTTTGCACCATTATTCCTTTTAAAAAAGCAATAATCTCACTGTCTAGCCAGAATTATAAACGGCTTTCATATCCATTTTAACATCTCTTCCCCTTCGAGTTCCTCTTGCCTGACGAAAATACATACAGTTCTGGCTGAGGTCCTCTTTTAGTGTCGAAACTGGAAATGAAAATGTTAGTCAAAATCAGTCCCACACTTGATCCTGAAGGGAGCCCACTGATCGCCTGTGGTCAGCTATACAGAACTGCTTTCAACACTGATATTTGTTACTTTGATTTATTCAGTTCCTCACCCCCTCCCCATATCCATCACTTACAGCATTTGTAAATATGTCCACTTTAACCGGAAGAAATATTTTTTTCCACTGCCCTGCACCAAATCTTCTACTGAATTCCAGAGAGAATAGAGATATTGCATCTCCCTTTTCCAGGGAGTCATTTACCCTGTCAAAAAGAAATACTGGCTTGGCACAAGCTATCATGATAAACGGAAGTCATATTTATCACATTTTCAAAATACTCCCCATACACACAGAGAAGACCAGGACCCTTATAAAATGCAGCCACGCTCTGTTCTTTTGAAATCAGGCCAATAGATGGAGCAGTGACTGCTAAACGTGAAGTACGGAAGGAGCCCAAGAGGAAAAACAAGAATCCATCAGCCTGTTGAAGGTCCCACTGTGGACAACCCTACCCACCAGTTGACAGAGTCATGCTCTTTCTAGCAGCAGGGGTGACAGCAGGTACAACCAGTAGAAATAACCTGATAGTCTGGTGACAACTGCATTAGCCTGAGAGGTGGGAGAGGTGAGATTGAACCCTGTCCTTCTAAGGTGAGCTTTAAAACTTACCCCAGCACTGCTAGGGTCAACACACTGTACAAATATGACAATTCATTCCTGTAATAACTTTTTTTTACAAATTCTGTGGCAAAAAAAAAAAAGTAAAAGTAGTTGACACATCACAAAATACCTGGGAGATTTCTGTAATAACTTTTTTTACAAATTCTGTGGCAAAAAAAAAAAGTAAAAGTAGTTGACACATCACAAAATACCTGGGAGATTTCAAAGTAATGTCTTGAGCCAAATTAATAGTTTGCATTTTGGTTAATATCAGCATTTTAGAAAACCTCCTGGTCCCTCAAAAAATTCAGTTGTTCTAGTCAAGGTGCAACATGCTCATATTTCTCTTTTATTTCATTCTAATCATCAGTAATGTCAGTACTTACTGTAACAGTAGTTTTCCAGTGAACAACAGCGTGAATTAGGTGGTTGGTTTACTTGAAATTTTTTTGTAACAAGCTGTTACCAGCCTGGGGGCTGAACCAATCCAGTCTGGTTTACAGTTGATCCATGGACTCTGAAACAGCTTTCATTTCTTAAATGTTTCTTTCACTCTTTCAGGCAGCAGGACCCTCCCCAATCCTTGAAGACTGATACTGCGTGGATGCAACAAATAAGCACAGCATAGAAGTCTAAGGAAGAGGCTATCAAAGTTCAAAATGCTGCTGGAGGCAAACTGCAGGTTTGATTAATTGGAGTTGAAGTAGCACTTTGTGCTCCTTTTCTGTTCTTAATGTTCCTCAGGGCAAGCAACCTGTGTTGGCACTGCACCCTCTGCTACCCAAAGCTCCAGCTTTGTAAGGTCACTATCTCTTTGCTAATCAGCAGTTCTAGGTCTGCATTCATTAAAGAACTCCTTCCTCAAGAGGAAGAGAATTTCTGTGTTAATATCTCCAGCCAACAACTATTCCCTAGCCTTCTAAAAGTCAGCAGATATGTGGGAATGCAGCAAGGGTGCCAGGACCCTGCAGAGCTGCCCAGGACTAGCACAGGGAACGAGGCAGCAGCAGTTCACAGCACTGTACCACCAAAGTTTGCCAGAATGTCTCTAGTTTGACTCTCCTGAAGTTTCTGTCTAGGCCTTCTTCATGCCATTCTTTCACCTGAGCTCCCCACCTCTGAAGG